AATCCTTTAAATTGCTGTTAACACTCTGATTTCTAGTGAATTTTCCACTGATTTTCATCCCATGAGTCCAGTCTAGCTCCAGATGGAGTAAAGCAGCATCCTTATCCTCCAAGATCACAGGCTTAGGGAAAGGCATGAACCCAAGTTGGTCCAACTAGGGTGAATCCTGGACCTCATTCTCAAGTCATATGGAGCAAAAGTTCCTTGTCTCCCAGGAGATGATATGGGCAGACTTGCTGCAGCGTCCATGTTGCCACCATGAGGATAGAGCATCTCAGTGATCCAGGGAATCAAAGTCTCCAGGACTCAATTTCTGTCTCTCAGGACTGTCTTCCTCTTTTTGGTTGCATCTTCAGTGGACTGAAGTAAAAGGGCAGAACAGGAGTGAAATGTCTCTAAAAGGCAAACAAGAAAGTATGGAATACAGAAAACAAGTGGAGGGTTGGATCTTGCAAGGACAAAAGGAAAGAAGGAGGCCACGGTGCTGATGTAGCTAGGATGATAAATTCCATGGAAAGGTGTAAGCATAGGTAAGTCAGTACGGTATTTCTAACTTAAGAAACTGGCAAGGATAACTATAAAAGGAAAACACTCTTATACCAATAGTTAGAGATTGTCTGATTAAATACCTTAGTCATATCTATAATTCCACATGAATCATCCTCTTTCAATCATTAAAGACCTCTCTCTTAGGTAATGAGAATGGCCAAAATCGTAAGGGAGAGAGAGGAAGCTCAAGACCAAAAGTTGGGTGTGGAGCGGGGAGAGCACAAAAAAGCAACAAGAAGAAACATAGGGGGCAAAAGAAAAAAATTTTAATAAGGGTCCTCCCTGGTGGCACAGGCAGATGAGTGCTGCTCTGTGAAGCTGTCTGCAGCTCTGCAGTGAGGGTTTGATCCCAGCCAGCAGGGGAGATACACACATGCACAGCAGACCTCTCCTGTCTTGTCTGTTGCTCCCCTCAGCAGTGTATTTCAGCCAGTCTGCCTGTTCTGTTCCCCACTCTGTCTCTGGTGAATCCTCTCATCTGGCCTGTACCCCGGTTCTTGTATAAATAAATAAAATCTTTTAAAAAGATTATAATAAGCATCCTTAGGAAATAAAAGAGATTCTGAACTCTTGAAACATAAACAAGAGGCCATGAATGGAACAGTCCAATACCAAAAAATGAAAAATATCATAGAGATTCATTTAAATCAATAGGATTAGAAAATTAAAGTTGGGAAATTCTCTCAGAGAATAAAGGAAAAATAAAAATAAAATTGATGAATAAAAGAAGATACATTTTAACAGAACCAAAAGTTTCAATGCCCAAATAATAAAATTTCCCTAGAGAAAAAAATAAAACTTGGGAGGAAAGAACTCATCAAGGTAACTGTTTTATTTTAACTTCCATAATTGAGGAAACACCCAAATTTTAAGCATAGCAAATGAAAATAGATCCACCCCAAGGCAATTATTGTCTTAGATCAATGAATTGACTAAGTGAGGGGAAGGATAGGACCAGCTCCCATGCCAAGGGCAAGTCTCAGGATGGCTTCCACTTCTTATAATGGTAGACTGGGTACTTTTGGACTAAGTTTTCCCCTGAAAAAAAAAATAATAATAAAAGCTGGACAACATATTTTAAAATATATTCCTGATCTAATGAAAAATTGAACAACTGCCAAGCCAGGACTATTATATGTACTGCTGTTGTAATGATCCTGACAGATTGAGAGATGGGAGCAATTGAAGTGGAATTGTAACAGGGTGGTCCCCGAAAGGGGGAGGTTCCAGATTTCCTGTCCCACCCAAATGGAAGGGTGTTGCTGAGCAGGGAGAGAAGAAGCTGCAGAGGAGACTGAGGAAGGGAGGAAGCAGGATGGAGAGCCAGAAGGAGACCTGGAGGAGGCACATGGAGCAGAGAGACTCGTGAAGAAACTGTGCTTGCATTTTGGTCCTGGACTGGGTGACACAGATGTGGATGAGAGACCGGTGGGGAGATGACAATGGCAGTTTTTGTCTTGATTTGATTTTGCTCTTTTCCTCCCAGACTTGTCTGGTTGTTTCTGATCCTTTTCTGTGGGTCTCCACTGGAAGATGCTTTGGACTTGTGGCAGGCTTTCAGGACTTGCTCTGGGCCAATCCCATTTGGGTGGACTTTTATCCATGAGAGGACAGGAAACTTTGGGTGGCTGATTTAGAAACTATATCCTTTGCCTTTCCTGTATTGTTTACTAACTGTATTAAAGTTCCTTCCCACTAAAGTCTCATTTGTTTTGTGTTGATGTGGCAGATGGCCGAACATATTTAGAGCAGGCAGGTTTGGGGGGTCTAAGGTACCCCTCTCCCTGCCCTGTAACAGAATGACTTAAGTTAGTAAATAAGAAGCAACCACTTATTCATAAAGATATTGACACACAGGCAAGAGGTGAGGAAAGATTAAAGCTAACTTGTGCCAAGAAGCCAAATCCAAATTAAAATTAGCAGGTGATGCTGTTAACACTTTTCTAAAAGCAATCTAACTATAGAAGCCAAGTCAAGTCAATCTAATACTCTTTGGACTCTATGCCCCCATGAGGTCTCCAAAGCCTTCCCCAGACACAACACACAATTAAAAATGACCAGGTGCCTAAGGAAACAAGACAACAGAACAAAAACTAACAGAAGCAGCAAACAATAGAGATGGGTGATGTGGGGTTTCAAACACTCAAACATCAGATTCAGACTTTAAAATAACCTGCCTATTAATTTATAGGAGATGGGGGAGGTGGGGAATGAAGGTAGAGCACTAGAAAATATTTTTACAAAAGGACCAAATGAAAAATTTAGAATGATATAATGGCCAAAATTAATAATAGTATTTTTTCAAATAGCATGCAGAAGCATATTTTTAGTCATTTAGAGCCTGCCTGCCTGCCTGCCTTACCTCTGAGGTAAAACCTTACTCCAGTTTGTTAGCACTACAAACACAGCTGAAAAGATGAATTTGGGAAATGGAACATAAGCCCAAAGAAAATATCCAAAAGAAAAACAGAGTTAAAACAATGCAAAACACAAAAGGAGGATAATGTACAGAGACATCAGTAATCAGAGTCCCATAAGAGGAAAAGAAATTGAAACAGAAATAATATTTGAAAAATGCTAAAGAACTCACTCCACATGACCAAAGACATGAAGCCACAGATCCAGGAAGCTCAGCGTCAAGCTGCATAAATCAAAAGTAATGCCTACGTGGCAGTAAAACTGCTGAAATACAGAAACAAGGAACAAATCTTAAAAGCAGCCAAGGGGCAAGGAGAAACACATTGCATTGGGCCGAAACCTGCCTTCTCAGCAGACAAACAGAAAGCAAAAGACCAAGGAACAACCAAGGTGCTGAAATAGGGTGTAGTAGCAGGATAGGCACAGGGCAGGTTTTCTGATCCCGCAGACAGGTAAAGGAGCATCTTGGAGCCATCAGTGGGTTTCTCAGGCTTTTATTGAGCTGTTACATATAGAGCAGCAACCAGGTACACAGCAGGCAGGGGTGCCCTGGCATGTCTTCACTCTGGGCTTCTCTGCCCTCTTTTCCTTCTGCTGCTTTTTCCTCCCTCTCTCCTGCTTCTGCTCCTCTTGCTGACTATCTCAATACACCCCCCATGGCCCAGGGAAGTAAATAAGATAGTTTGCAACAATGTAACAACTGCAGGTGCCCCATCAGGCAGGGCAATCCTAATGGTGTGAGGGCAGAAAAGCCTGAAAAACCATTTACCCTCCATAGGGCCTCCCCTGGTGGCACAGTCAGTTGAGCGCAGCCCAGGCAATTGAGCGCAGCACTGTGAAGCTGTCTGCACCCTCTGCATCGTGGGTTCGATTCCCTGCTGGCCAGGGAGATTCCCACATGGCCCAGCAGACATCTCCTGTCTCACCCGCTGTTCCCCTCAGCAGTGTTTTCAGTAAGTCTGTCTGTTCTGTTCCCCGCTCTGTCTCTGGTGAATCATCCTCCCGTGCGTCTGGCCTGTACCCTGGTTCTTTGTATGCATGGATAAATAAATCTTTTTTTAAAAAGTTGCTGAAATAAAGTAACTGCCATCCTAAATTCAGTGAAAATAAGATTCAAGGATGAAGGTGAAATTACAGTGTTATCCAACAAACAAAAACTGAGAAAAATGCCACAGCAACAGACCTGCATTAAAAGAAATAGTAAATTATGTTCCTCCAGTAAAATGAAAATAATCCCAGATCGATGATCAGGCATTCAGGAAGAAATGAAGAGTAATGAAAATAGTAAATATGTGAGTAATATGAATGTGAGAAAAGTTGACATCTGTGAATCCATCTTCAAAAACGGAGCCCAGAGTCAGTTCAGAGAAATTGCCTAACTTGTCTCATTTGAACTGGGCTGAAAGACTTTTGTGCCAGGGCAAAAATCAATTGTCTTAAGAAATCATCAAGCAAACAATTGTTTGAGAAGTCACAGAAATAGTGAGGACTGATGATTAGGAACTTTTAGTCTCAGAATAGGGTCAGACCTACTTTCATCCTTTTTCGAAAAACAGTAACCAATTATGTGTAGCAAAGAATAGTCAAGGCTGTTACCAGTAATCAACTGTTTTCTTTAGCCACTTATTATATAATCTTCCTCTTTTCTTTCCATAATATTTGTTTGTTTTTTCTGTAACCCTGCCTACAATTTAGAACCTCACTATTCAAAATGTGGTTTGTAAACCAGCAACATCTACTTATGTGAAAACTTGTTAGAAATTCAGAATCGCAAGCCCCCCCTAGACCTAATTAGCCAAAATCAAAACCTGCATGTAATCAAGATCCTCGTGTAACCTGTATACATGGTGAGGTTGGGAAGTTCTAGAAGCTGATTGTAGAGTCTTCACTCAATTTCTACAGGGATAAGTCTAGCATCTATTTTAAAAATTGAGGAGGGGGATTTTCCTAGAACTCTTTATTGTGGAGCTCTAGCCTTACAAACTCCCTTTGCTTTAACAAGACAGTTCCTCAGTTTCTCAATGAGAACTTACCTGAGAAATCCTAAGCACTCTCTTTTGTCCTTCATTAAATCTGGTCCCTATGGGCTGTCTACTAACTTTCCTTCATTGTCAAGCCTTGTCTGTAGGAGTCCAAATGTATGCATTGTGAGCTTCTGTGTAGGTCCAGCTTCAGGATGTCCTAATGGGAATAGAGTGGTGGTGAGATGATTAGATGGCAGAATAAGGGACACCCCAGGCCCCCAAACCCGTATGCTCAAGATGGGTTCTGCCATTTGGCACATCAAGACAACCCACACTTTAGTGCATACATTTAATGGAAAAGTACCTTTATTACAACTGTGTGTGAGAGAGAGAAGAGAAAGAATATAATTTAAAAGTTTTGAATTAATCACCCCAAATTACCCATCCCCTCATGGGTAAATGCCCAGCCAAACAGGGTTGACCCAAAGCAGGGCTACTGAGTTCAGAAAGCATACCACAAGTCTAAGGTGTCTTCTGTTGGGGACCCATAGAAAAGGGGCAGAAGGCGCCAGGCAGGCTTGGAAGGAAGAGAGCAACATCAAAATCCAAGTCAAGATAAAGTCTGCCATTGTCAGCCTCACCACATTTCTCTCACCCACATCTCTGTCTCTTCTCTTTCTTAAGATTTATTTTTATTTATTTATGCATACAAGAACTGAGGTATAGGCCAGAGGTGTTGGGGGTGAGAGCATTCACTAGAGACAGAGTGGGAAGTAGAATGGCGGAGCCACTGAAATACACTGCTGAGGGGAGCAGTGGGCGAGACAGGAGAGGTCTGCTGCGCCAAGTGGGTTAGCTCCCTGGCCAGGGACCGAACTCCTGCTGCAGTGGCTGGCGATAGCTTGACAGCACTGAGACTTAACCCCTGTTCCACCAGGAAAGCCCTCTCTCTCTTTCAAGTATCTCTTTTCATGACCACCCCCCAAGTTTCTGGTACAGTCTGAGACCAAGAAGCAAGCATGGCCTCTTTGAATGCCATTCTGCTCCACGTACCTCCTCCAGTCTTCTCCTTTCTCCATCTTTCTCCACCCCTTCCTCCCTCTGCCAAGCTTCTCTCTGTTCAGCTCTGCGCTTCATTGGGTGGAGCAGAGAACCTGGAACTTCCCCTTTCTATGGAGATCACACTGTTACAAGATGTAAGCAATAAACAAGAAAACCTGTAATGAGCAATATGGGGAAATGCCTCTGTGTTCTCAAGATTATCCTTAACTCAAAATCTCAGCTCCAGCCTGCGGGTTTTGCATGACCCAAAGGAGGGGAGCACTGCACTCCGGGAGGTCTGAGGACAGAAGCCCCTTCCCTGTGTTAGCTTCTCCACCTGACACTTGCAAGCTTTTACCCCTACTTTACACCTCTTTTAATCTGAACAAAACCCCTATGATGTGGAATCACTTTTTTTTTAAGAGTTCCCTAATTTGTCCTGTCCCAGAAATGTAAACCTTTCACCTTGAATGTTCCAAAGACTTTATAAGTGGGATCTCATGGACGTGGTACAAGCCTCTTGTGGGCAAATGGTGAGTCCATCTTCTACATGGGGCCATGAGTCCTCTAGTCCTGTTTAAATTCCCATTAGTGAATTTTGTCAAACTCTAATTAAATCTTTTATTGGCTCCACCAATATCAATCAGTAACAGGAACATGTCAACATACAGTGTTCCAAAGTTTCTATCACAATATTGTCAAGATCATGGGGCCTCCCTGGTGGCACAAGGGGTTAAGCATCACACTATGAAGCAATCTGCAGCCTCTGCAGCACAAGTTCGATCCCCAGCCAGCCAGCCAGCGAGCAACCCACATGGCGAAGCAGACCTCTCCTGTCTCGCCCGCTGCTCCCCTCAGCAGTGTATTTTAGTCAGTCTGCCTGTTCTGCTTCCCACTCTGTCTCTGGTGAATCCCCTCACCCCCCACATCTCTGGCCTGTATGCATAAATAAATAAATCTCTTATATGTATAAATAAATAAATCTTTTTTAAAAAAACAATATTGTTAACATTCAGTAGATTATTTTTTAAGGAATAATGTAAGTATGTCATTTATTCATAATTTGATGAAAATCTGTGTTTAAAAAAAAAAAACACAAAATACTCCCATTCCTTATATCCCCTTAATCTTTTCTCCTACCCACCCCCCCAACCTTTGGTAACCTCAGTTCAGGTATCAATGTCCACTGGTTTATTCTTCTTTCTTTGTCAGCTTATCTGCTTTCTTTCCTTCTATTACCCATACATGTGAAATTGCTACAGAGACCAAGCTCTCAGCTACTTGTCACTCATAAAACAAACACGAGAGACAGGAGCTGGGTAAGCAAGGTTTTGTTTAGAAAGTCAGTATTTCTGGGAGATGATGGACTCTTGTCCTTGAAAATATATCGCATCCCTTGGGACTCAGCACAGGGGTTTTATTAAAAAAAAAAATCAGTCAACAACTGAGTTTCGGCAAGTTCCCCCTTAAGTCTTGCTGAGACTCACTGGCACCAAGGGTGATCTGGTTCTTGTCATATGTAACAGAGGAACCCTGGAGGTCACTCCAGGCCTTTCATTGGAGTTGGTATTTTAATAGCCTCAGAGGATGGTATTTTAATAGCCTCTAAAGGTTACTGGTAACAGCTAACTGATGGGGGGGGGGGGGAAAGCTCCCTGTTGGTAAATTATTTATTTATTTTTGCCCTTTCAAAATCATCCAATATTTGCCTTTATCTTTCTGTCTAACTTCACTTTACATAACCCCTGAAGTTCCTTTCATTCTGCTGCAAATGGAAAAATTTCACCTTTCCTTAAGCTGAATTGTAGTCCATTGTGAGTACCACATGTACTTTATCCAGTCCTCTCTCAGTGGGGACTTAGGTTGTTGCTTCCATATTTCAGACTTAGTAAGTAATGCTACAATAAGAATTGTGATGCATATAATGTCTCAAATTGTGGTTTTGTATTCTTCAGAAAGACATCCAGAAGTAGGAATGCTAGAGCGGGTGATATTTCTCTATTTAGCTATTTAAGGAAGATGCAGATTGCTTTCCAAAGTGGCTGCAACAATTTATATACCCACCCACAGTGTGTAAAGTTTCCTCTTTTGCTACGTACTTCATTCTCTACGAATCACGTTGTGTCATTGGTTTTACCTGCATTTCCTGTTATCAGTGATTATGAGCACTTTTCATACGTCTGTTGGTCATCTATAGAGCCTCTTGGGAAAGGAGTCTATTCAGATCTGCACATTTCTTAATTGGGTAGCTTGGGTTTTGTTGTTCAGTCAGATGAATTCTTTATATGCCTTGGATATTAACCTCTTGTTGGTTGTATGATATATAAATATCTTTTATGGCTTTTTCATCTGTTAATTATTTCTTTTGCTGTGTAAAGGATTTCTATTTGATATGGTTCAATTGTTTATTTTTGCTTTTATTTCCCTTGCCATAAGGATTGAGTCCTCAAAGATGTCTCCATCATTGATGTCATGGAATATATCACCTATACTTTCTTTTATGCCTAGTCCATTTTGAATTTATTTTTGTGTTTGGAGTTAGAGTGACCCAGGTGCATTGTTTAACATGTCGCGATCCAGTGTTCCCAATATCATTTGTTGAAGGGACTGTCCTTTCTCAATTGCATAGCCTTGGTTCCTTTGTCATAAATTAGGTATCACTATGCAAGTGGATTTATTTCTGAACTTTCCATTCTGTTCCACTGATCCATGTGTCGATTTTTATTCTAATGCCATATTGTTTTACTTGTTACTTTATAAGATAGTTTAAAATCAGGTAACAAGATGCCTCCACTTTTATTATTTTTTTCTCAGCTATTCAGAGATTTTAATGGTTCTATATAAATTTTAATATTTTTGCTTTATTTCCTTGAAGAATATCATTGGACTTTAATGGGGAGTACATTAAATCTATATATAATTTTTGGAAAAATTGTCATTTTGCTCTATTGCCCTTTATCGCTCTAGCTAAAACTTCTTATGTTAAGCTAAACAGAAGTGGTGAATATAGACATCCTTGACTTGTTCTTGATCTTAGAGGAAAAGCATTCAGTTTTTTAGCATTAAATATGATATTGGCTTTGTGTTTGTAGTATATAGGTTCTATTATGTATCAGGTTTTTACCAGTTTTTAAATAATTGTCTTTAGCTTTATAGAATTATGATCAGAAAAAAATACTTGGTATGATGTCCATCTTTATAAGCTCATTGACATATGATTTATGTCCCAACACATGGCTTATCCTTGAGTGTTCTATGTGCACTTGAGAAAAATGTAAATTATTTGGGTAGAATGTTCTGTAGATGTCTATCTGGTCTAGTATATCATATAAGACTATTGTTTCCTTATTTATTCATCTTGTTGATCTGTTCATAGTCCTTAGTGCAGTGTTAAAATCCCCTATTAGGGAAGAAATTTGCAAGACATATATCAAACAAGGGGTTGATATCAAAATGTATAAACAACTCATACAAGCCAACAAAAAGCATACAATCCAATTAAAAAAATGGGCAGAGGATCTAAACAGGGATTTCACCACAGAAGACATACTGATGTCCAATGGACACATGAAAAGATGTTCTATATCATCTATCATTAGGGAACTATAAATCAAAACCACAATGAGATATAACCTCTCTCTGGTTAGAATAGCTATTATCAAAAAGTTGAGATGTAAGTGTCAGTGAAGATGGAGAGAAAATTATCCCACTCTTGGGTATTTGCCCAAAGAACCTGAAAACACTAATTTGAAAAGATATATGCACACCTATGTTCATTGCAGCACTATTTACAATAATCAAGATTTGGAAACAACCTAAGTGACTTACTGATGTGTGGGTTAAAAAGATGTGATATAGATACACACAGACTATAATTCAGCCGTAAAAAGATGAAATCTTGCCATTTTGACAACATGGATGACCTTGAGGGAATTATGTTAAATGAAACAAGTCAAAAGGAGAAAGACAACTACTGTATGATTTCACTCATTTGTAGACCATAAAGAAAAGCAAAACAATCAAACATAATGAAAACAAACCCTTCTCTCCTCTCCTCCCTTCTCTCCTTTCTTTCTGGAACCCCTATGATGTGAATATTATTTC